CACAACAGAGAACCGATCCTGTTACAGCTTACAGGATGGGGAGACGGTCGGGGAAGCTGCAAGCGTGACGTCACCGTGACCTAGTCTGGCCCAACCATGGGAAAATTTGTAAGTACCTACATTAATTTCGTGTAAGTATGAACATATCGAAATGAAATAGATTTTGAAATATTATAACTTACCTATTGTAAATAAGAAATTTTGATGAAACGATGATCTTAATATTTAACATGATAGATTAACAAGATAGATTTATTTACATCTCTGTTAACAGTTTAGAAGAGTCTTATAGGGCTCTTCAGCATCAACACAAGAGTTTGTTTGTAGTACCTCTTTAAGGTTTTAAAGAGGACTTATTAATTAAGTTATGAAAATCTTGAAGTTAGGAATCACTTTTCAGAAAATTCACGATATTCTCAAACTTATATTTTTTTAACATTATACAATGAAAAGGAGAAAGGGTGCGTACGAACAAGGCTTTTCTTAATACTGCAATAACTTATAGTATCAACGGCGTATCTATTACAATTACAAAGGTACATCGAGCGAGTTGCTTTCGAGTGCTTCTCGAAAGCAACTCGAAACAGAGCGAGAAATGTGAGTACTGAACCAGTGTTACAACTCAACATCTGGGTCAAGGATGACAATGCGTAGCTTTCCCGATGAGGCTTTGAATCGAAATCGTTTAATGTTACAAACATTTATGTAAAAATATTTGCTTTGCATCATACTCAAATTGTTGTACCAAGATCATATAATATCAGTATCATCACTTGAGTAAATCGGCAGGGAAAATCCTCTACCTACTGGCCTCCATTTTTCCAGAGTCGCGTATTTATCTTCACCTAAGTTAATTTAAATGAAACTACAGGGCAAATCCATAGCAGCAGCATGTAATAATTGTTTAAAAAATGATTTATTCAAATTCGCTATTGCACTAATAATTTTGTTTAGGTTTGCGAGTTTGTTGTGACGCGAGATTCGCTATCGCCGCTCTTACACCCACTCGCACACGATTTCCTAGATCTTTATCAATTAGAGTAAGCATTTTAAGCGCCCTGCGCTGAATTGGTTGGGTCACTGTCGCCAGTTGCATCGCGAATACATCGGCGAGACGTTGCCTCTGGCCGACGTTCGTCAACACGTGGTTGTAGAAGTGCTTCGGCTGCGACAAGTCCACCGCATTGCTGTCCAACACCAAAAGTCGTTTCCACGGCTTGCTCTCATCCACAACAGCCTCCGGCCCACTAAACGAATTCGGAAAATAATTTGGCGCATCTCGCATGTTCTCATTCACTGGCGCAACGCCATCGCGCGTGTAAGTCTTCGCGTAGAACGGCATATTTACATCAACATTATTATGGTTGATTCCCAAGCGGTAGTTCTGGGTGGACCGGTAGAAAAGCCTACGGCCCTTGAATAGTGTATCGACCGGCCCGGGAATACCAGGCACTAAACTGGCCGGATTGAATGCACTCACATCGCTTACTTTGAAGAAATTATCGGGATTCTTATTCAAAATCAAACGTCCCACTTCTATAGTGTGATAAGTTCCATTTTTCCACAATCTTGTGACGTCAAAAGGATTGAAGTCAAGATTTTTAATACCATCCTGTGTCATTATATCTATTTCTAATCTCCAAGACGGATATTCTTTATTAGCAATAGCGTTGTACAAGTCTCTAGTGTAATAATCTATATCTTGACTTGCATTAGCCACTCCTACACTTGTGAGATTACTCAAGCCCTGCTCGGTTCTGAAGTTAAATCTGATGTAGTATCTGTCGCCTTTTTTGTTATTAACTTCATAAGTATGTATTGGAAAGGCATCCATATTTCTGTACGAACTTGGAATGCCAAAATCTGACTGAGTCCAAAAAAAGGTGTTGAATGCTGATGGTCGTTTTGTCAAGAAATCCCATATGGTGGTTCTATCAAATACATTGGTAGCTGGATTTCTTTTGAATGCGTGAACTTGAGATTGGAAGAATAACGGATCATTGTACAAGTATACGGGTGTTTGCAGGCACAGCAGATCCAAATTACCTTCTTTGGTATAAAATTTTATGGCCATGCCTTTGAGCTCTCTCGATACATCGGGGCCGCCAAGACTCTGAATTGCTGTTGACATACGAACCACTAATGGAGTTTTCTTTCCGACACCGTTAAAAACTTCAGCTTTTGTGTACTTAGAAATATCATGTGTCACTTCGAAATAACCAAATGCAGCTGTGCCTTTCGCGTGAACCATTCGCTCTGGCACTTTCTCTCGCACGAAATGCAGCATAGAATCCAGCAGGTATTCATTGGCTATGATATCAGAGTTCAGAGTGATTGTTTCTCTCACCTCCACAGGCCTTCCTGCAGTTGTTGTAAGAACACCTATCGGTTTCTGCAACAAAAAATATTCCAGTAAGTATAGAGTATTTTCCCCTGCTAATCGAAAGAAGTCAAATTGAAATACCGAGTCTATTTATTTGAGTTTTATTCAGGTAAGTAAAGTACATTGTTGCTAGGTAAATGATGTTCTAGATATTAAAAATACAAGTTCCTGTTTTATTACTAAATAATGAGAAAATAAATAAATACAAACCGGGTGCATGATCTTGAATTCGCACATCTTACGCTGCACCGGTTGTAGAGTGGCATTTCCAGTCTCACAGCACAGTCCATAATTTAACACGAAAACAAAGAAAAGAACGCACGTTGTTACAACACCGTTCATGTCGAAATCCGTTTCAGTCTGCACTGTAATTATTCCTCAGCTGCTTCTTAAAAACCTTCGCGTTTTACGTATCTATCAAACAACTTATGAATAAATAATTCGCGCAAAATTGTACGTTTATGTAATTATATCTATTTAGCTGTACTCGTACCAATCAATTTTGTGAACAATGTAGAATCTAAGGATTAAAAGAGGCGTGTGTTTGGGATAGGGCTAGCCATAATTTAAGGCGATGTTATTATGCCAATTTTCGACAAAAATACCCCTATAGCATGTGGGCCTACTCCCCTTCTGTTGAAATGGGGCGGGAGATTTTAACCGCTTTTCACCACAATATTACATTAGATTGTCCGCAGGTCAACACGCCCACTTTCTAAAAAATAGCTTCCCACCATATTAAGATAAGTAAAGATTAAAAAATAGATTAGGTAACAAAAGTACAAAGTGAACTGTACGTACTTAAGTATACCTACATGTCAATGTAAAAACAAAACGTAGTTATTATCGCAAATGTCCGGTTCATTCGATCTGCATAGCTCAGACAAGGTAATAATAGAAACTTAATAGCTTCGCATACAGGATGATTGATGTAAGTGAACAATATCTTACTAGCAAACTAACGCCTGTATTCACAAACATTACTATGAGGTCTCCCAGTGCGCGTGGACGCACAGGGTGACACACGAACCAATCACAGAGCTCTATCAGAGTAAAGCTCTATTCAACGTTGTGCGTTCGATTTGCTGCTTCACTAAAGCAAGCATAGTTTGTAAATACGGGTGTAACATTACATTATTAGCAGGCTGATTACATTATTTCCTGTTTCCCAAATACTTACCTATGCATACAGAAGATTAAAATTACGACACATTAACTATACGAGTAACTTGTCCAATAGAGTAGCGAATCTAACGAGAATGATCCAGCCTGTATATGGGCGTCGATGTTAAATAATTACTTCATAATAACACGCATAATATTGTGCCTACTCAATACCTGCTTAACAGAAGTATCTATTGCTATTATACTTAGTTGATTTACCTACCCACTTAGAGAACACACTCAATAGAACGTGTGGATTGTATGATGCTTGCTACGTTATGTTACCTTCGTTTCAGCTTGTCTACCCACACCTATGATAGCATAGCGCAGTAACAAGAAAAATAAAAAATCGTTTCATCAAACTTTTTTTTTCAGAATGATCTTAAAGTGGTCTTTAAAAAATCTCTGAGTACTAGGGCAACATGTTATTGTAGAGAAGACTAAAGGCATATTGCGAATAACAAATAGGTATTAAGAGGTACATACTTACTTAGATATTCCGCAAACATTACGAAACAAGCTTTCCAATATTCAAGAGGATTACCTCAGTTCACAACACCCAAAATGTAGGTACCTACCTACCTATATCCCGCAATCCGCTAATCTCACTAAGCATTCGCCATTAACGTTTGATAATGGAATTAACGTTGCCATACAAAATGGAGATCGGACTTAGGATTGGAAGGATACCCGACGAACCTTTGTTTGGCAAAGCTATTCCATTTACTAGCCTTCGGAATCTGTTACAAAATGGTGAGGGGTGGACTAGTACCTAGGATTATAGTTTTTTTTATATCTACTCTTATTTTCTTATTAAAATTACTATTTTTTCCGCTAACCCATGTAATCTTAAAATTACACCAATGCGTACGAGTGTTCTCGGATCGGCAGTCCAATACCTATTACCTAGCTAGAGATCATTGTCGCTAAATAATACGACTATTACTGAAATTATTTGTTACAGCAGCATCAAGCCGGTATCTATCGGGCGTGCGTATAAAACTGTGAATGTAATAACAGTGTGTTCACGAGCCGGTATCTATCGGGCGTGCGTGTGTTCACGATCCGGTTTCTATCGGGCGTGCGTGTGTTCACGAGCCGGTATCTATCGGGCGTGCGTGTGTTCACGAGCCGGTATCTATCAGGCGTGCGTGTGTTCACGATCCGGTTTCTATCGGGCGTGCGTGTGTTCACGATCCGGTTTCTATCGGGCGTGCGTGTAAACGATCCGTTTGTTACCCGGTTCGTCGCCAGTTCGATTACGAGGCGCGCGCCGAATCGGATAGAAACCGGCTCGTCAACACACTGTTATTACATTCACAGTTTTATGTTACAGCATGCATGGAAAGTTATTTATGAACAACAATAAAGTAATTAATGAAATAGATTTAATCCATTGAACAGCTTTCATAGATATCTCAAAATTTCAATTCAAACTATGTATATCTTTTGATTATTTTAAGTTCTGCAAGCCTTCTCGTTTCTTCCATTCACTTTTGAGTTGTGCCACTTTCTTCTTTTTATATTCATTCCTTTTGCTCTTCTTTTCTTCTAGCCTCTTCTTCTGGGCTGCAACACTTTCCGGGCCATTGATATCTTCATCTAATTTTGCAATTAACATTTCTCTAGCTAGCTTCCTATTTTCATCTTGACATCTACTAATGTGGCACTTCACTACTGTTCCTGAAATGACAAAAAATAACCAATTAACATCCTTACATCATCTAAATATACAGGGTGGAAACGATAAGTGATCTCACTCGATTATTTCTAAACTATACAAGATATCGAAAAACTGATTACTGATCCTGAAAGTGCTTCACGAGCTCTTTCAAACAATATCAGTAATGGGTTACAGAATTAACTTGATCTATCTAAAAATTCAATGTTTTCAGCCTCCATACTAAATGTATGCCACTATGCCAGCCACACAATATTAGAGTGTTAATTTTTTTTTATTTTAAACTAGCGGCCGCCCGCGACTTCGTGCGCGTGGATCTCGTTTTACCCCCCCTTCATCTATCTTACGCGGTTCAGATTTTTTCATACAAATGTTTTTTCCCGCTAACTCCCGTTCCTGTGAAATTTTTGCGGGCAGCCGCTAGTTAATTTATATTTTAGCATTGAACACTTATTTAAATTGACATTTACACCTGTAATCACAAACAATGCTTGCTTATGTGAAGCAGCAAATCGAAAGCACAGCGATGAATAGAGCACTGTGATTGATTTGTGTGTGACACTGTGCGTCCACAAGCACTGTGAGACCTCATAGTAATAATTTGTAAATACGGGCGTTAGTATAGTGTGTTATTTTAAATCAGTGTTTAACTGCATTTTACTTATTTGTAATAAAACGGACATTGTTTATATCTTATAATTTTAAAATTAGGTATATTATAAACTCTAATAAAAGTAAAGTACCTGTTGGTACATGTGTAAGCACGACGCAGTTGGCATTTTTATTCACAGCAGAGCCACCAGGACCTCCACCTCTAACAAATTGCTCCGATAACTCATGCTCGTTAACTTTGGGCACCCGGGAATAATCTATTGTATGTTTGAGAGCCCTTAGAGGTATCGTATCTATTCTAAATCTTGTCACACATTTCAACATTTTAAACGACAGATCCTCGCCTCAATAAAGCTTCACCTTTCTGAAAGAAAAAACTTAATCACCACATATCACAAATTGCTAATGTTCTATTTTTTTAAATTACATAAATACTTACTACTAAACAAGGAAAATAAAACAAACCTGATAAGCAAAAGTTATGTCTTCTGCGTTGATCAAATTCCTATTCTTCCGAAATTCACTAGTTACTCTTTTCCTAAAATAGGCAGGGTCAGTAAGCGTCAAGTTCTTTGAATACTGAATTAAATTCTTGTAGAGTCTTAACACTTCCAATCTGGATATTGACATAGTAGCAAGTTACATGAATCTGTAAGGAAAAAATGAGAAAAAATGAATTTTTGAACATATCAAATCCAAGTTGGATATCAAATCCAACGTACATAACCTAAAATATCCGAATCAAGAAAAAGTAATCAATCTGAGCTCTATTTGTGGCTCACCTACCTTTGTGATATTTATAGAAAAATACAATCTAATTTATATTTTATTTAAATTAATTTCCCCAATAATATTTTCATCAGCTCATCAATCATCAATGTCAAATTTTTTTACCCTCCCTAACCATAGAGAAAAGTAATTCCCTAACCTGTGACCCTAACTGTCAAATAACTGTCTCTCTGACATTAGCGTTTAGTTAACATTTCACTGTAGCTTAATCGTTTCACAGAAGAAAATATGTTATTTGTTCATAAAAATGTACGCAGCATTTTACTTGTTTAATAAAAATATGATATTTTTTGCGAAATAAACTTAAAACCTAACAGTAATTTAATCTAGATTTTGATGTAAGTTTACAAATAATAAAACGGCTTCAGGGGATTTCCGCTTTTGCTATCAAAGTGTCAAACAAAATCTTTCTTTCTTTTTGTTTTGTGCGAAATCTCGCGAAATTTTATATTTGGCGAATACTTGTGATAACTTGTGTGTATTGGGTTAATTCGTAAAGATTAGTTGTATTATAATTTATTGTAAGTCTAGTGTTGTAAAGAACCTCTATTAAAATCACAAGTGTCCTAAACTTTCCTCGAAACTCGGCCCAGTTCTTCAGCGAGTTTATTTCTTCAATCAAAATGTTTCGATCAGACGCTCAGCAACAGCAGAACAGTTCAGTAAGCATCAATATGCTCAACATTGAAATGATAGCGCTGATACAAAAAGAGATAGATCCCTATGATATGATATCGCTTGTATTCCTGTTGTACGAAAATCCCGATACAGCCCTGCAACGTCTTGTTATTTATCAACGTGTCTCGATGGATATTGACGGGAACGACACGAACCTTTTGCACGACTGGGTAGTTCATTCGCAATCCCGACCCACCTGGCGAAATGAGTTCTTGGAAGCTTTAACTACTTGTCAGCTTTATTCCATCATAAGAAAATTGGGTCTAAATGTATCAGCTGTCAAACAATTTTACCAAAATTCAGTAAATAATACTCTGATACATCCAATGAAAAAGGCACTTTACAAATTATGTGAACATATGAATACAGAAAACATTTATAAACTAAAAAAGACACTACTGACGTATGAAATAGATTGTACAGATTATGAGTCATGTGAGCTAATCTTTTTAGACTTAATGTGTCAAAGATTTATTTCTATTAGTAAGCAAAATGCAAGGGGGAATAGTGATTGTGGAATAGAAAATCTGGCAAAAATTATTGACAACTTTTCTGACGTTCAAAGTTTTGCTGATGAATTGCGAAGAATTGAAGATATTCATTCTGATAAATCAAAAGTAAATGATGTGTTGTTTACTAGTACTCCATCTGCAAGTGTGAAAGATGTATCTAAAGAAGAAGACAATACCAAAAAATATGCCAATGATTTAAGTGATGTCTTTAAATGGTTTAATGGGCTTAATGTGGATGATATACCAGATAAAGAATTAAAATCTGACACAAAGCTTCTTAGTACAGATGCATATCCAATAAAAGATTCCAAAAATGTTGGTGTATGTCTCATAATAAACCAAGAAAAGTTTCATCCTTCAAAAGAAAGTATAACAGGAAATGTTCAAAGCAACCCATTGGGGGACCGACTTGGCTCAACTAAAGATAAAGAAGCTCTTAAAAGTACTATGTCAGGCCTTAACTTTGAAGTAATAACATATGACAATATTAATCATCAGGAAATGTTTGAGAAAATCAAAGATGTGGTTAAGTACAGAGTCCATGACAACCACAGCATGTTTATGTTATGCATTCTGTCACATGGCACAAAAGGACATGTATATGCAGCTGATTCTGTCAAAGTCAAGGTTGAAGATATAGAAAGTTTACTAGACTCAGATGAATTTACTAAGCTGAGACATAAACCAAAATTAATAATCCTACAAGCATGTCAAGACAATAATGATGATCCATATATCCCCATGGTCGCAGATAGCCCACGACCTGTCTACCGGCACTACATAAAGAAGTCTGATTTCATCATTTATTGGGCAACTGCACCAGGCTATGAATCCTTCAGACATGAAGAGATGGGCTCAATTTTTATACAAATGCTTTGTGAAACTTTAAAGCATTACTCTGGAACAGACCATGTTAATGATTTGTTCACTAGAGTCAATTATTTGGTTAAGAGAATATGTGTTAGTCTCAAACGAGACCAGTTACCGAAAGTGGAACATACTCTAATGAAAAAACTGTACTTACAAATTCCTGAAAAAAGTCAGAAATAATTTTAACTTAAAGGAGAAAAGAACCTATCTGCTAAGTAAAATATTTTATTTCAACTGTATATTTTTGTAATCTTTACCCTTAGAAAAAGTTATAAATTATGTCATTTAATAATAAAACTTTATTTACAATTATTTGGTTTTATTTATTGCCTTATTTATAACCAATGATATTATAGATTTTGTTTTTATATAATATCATTGTTTATAACAAAAAAGTATTACAAACACTTAAGTACAGTCCACAAAATACTTTAGAGCTACATAGGGTACATAGGTATGTTTGTTTGTACATAGTTCAGTTAGATGTATTAGGTCCCGCAAGGTGGCTATGATGGATAAATCTACATGGTGGTTTTTGAAGGATTCGGTATCTAAAAATTCATTAAATGTATGAAAATTATTGATAGACTACTTGCCGGCCGGTGCTATTCGCGTTCGCGAAGTAGCTAGCTAGGTAGTACGAGTATAAATAAACCAAAGAATATATATTTTACTCGTGACGAGAAGAACGGCGACTGCATAAAAAAATAACTGGACTTTTCTTAACGCCATCTAGTTGGTATAAATAAACACGCACTTCATTTCATTTCGTCTCGCCCGACTTGCGAAAATTAAAAGTCATTTTAATTTAATGTCAAATTTTTTATTTTTTGTAAGTATTTTATAGAGTAAGTAGCTAATTAGCTATTAGATTCGGTGACCTAAAAACCTAAACGATCTTTTAACAATTTGTCTCTGGAAGGGGATTTTTCATCAAAAGGTCGGGTGTGATCAATGTTGCCATAAAAAGAGTTGTAAATTTGCCTAGATTGAGAAGCTAAGTGGTGAAATTTAATAAACCAATAACTTGCGTTTATTTTCAACATAAAAATATTTTAAAAATTGAAGTCATGAGGAAAACTTAATAACAATGGGCACCATAATTTTATCAACACATCCTTTTATTCTCTACGATGATGAAAGCAATGTACATAGGTACCTACCAGCGTTGCCAGACGTCCCGATTTTGGCGGGACGTCCCGATTTTTTAATCAAATTTAAATGTCCCGCGCGGGACAGGCTCGGTCCCGCTTTTCGGAGAGAAACACTCACTTCACCAGACTATTGTTTGAAACGCCATATTATTGTAAATAATAAAACTTTTTTAATTTCGATATTTTTTCTTTTTTTATTCTAAAGACGAATTTAATTATAGAGTAAATCTGTACCTCTAGCATGAACAACTTTCGTCTTCGAATCGTTTGCGTATTCGATAAAATTCGATACTCAACCTTCGAATTAAACGATAACGTGACAATTTTGATTCTCAAAATAAGTTTCGTGCAACCATTTCTTACACTAAGTTCACTTTACGACACGTCCACAAGGGTGCTGTTGTAGTTTTCGTACTAAATCTTTTGATGGCGATTTGAGTACGCAAACGATTTGAACTCGAAAGATTTTCGTCCTAGCCGTACTGATTTAAAATATTATTTTTTTGTTAAAATACATTTTCTATGGCTACTTTTGCTATCTATTGTCACGTAAACGTAATTTTAAGTCAAATAAAAAGATAAATATTTGAAAACCTTTGATTATTATACGTTTTTTTACTATGTCCCGCTTTTGACGGAAGAATCCCGCTATTTTCACTCAAAAAGTACCAAAGTCCCGACTTGGCGTAAAAAAAAACTGGCAACGCTGGTACCTACATACTTAACGAAACTGAAATGGGAGCAATGGCTTCCAGTTCCAATCTCCGCGCGCGCGACTGGGAATACCTACTTATTTTATGTGAACGGGCATCTAGATCTTCATCACCATACCAACCAAATCCAACGCGACTAAGAGTCCCCAGAAAAAGGGAAATACTTTTACAGCTACGTAGGTAACTCCAACCAAACTTGGTTTGAGCAAATACAATTTTGTAAACCAAGTATAAGCAGTGGCAGATAAAAATAAGTTCCTTATGCCTTATAGTTACTTATCAGTAGTGAGTGCGATCACTATCTACCTCCCACTATATTTTTACCAAAAGTTGTGTACTGTAACTTGGACTTGGTGTGCTTAATTGGTACAAAATTGTAGGTACCTACTGTGTTTATACCTACTTAATTGTGTATCAAAACATGTCAGCATATAACCATAATTCATCATTTTTGGATAATATAAATCTTGCTGCTATATCAGATATTGGGAATGAAATTGATCCCTGCGACATGATTTCAATAATGTTCCTGTTATACGAAGATCCTCATTTGGCGCTACGAAATCTCACGGTATATCTACGGGTCTCGAATGATATAGGCGGCAGCACCTGCAACTTGCTGAAAGATTGGGCATCGCATGCGCAGACTCGCAGCACTTGGAAGGCCGAACTCGTGGAAGCACTGGCAACGTGTCAATTAAATACTGTAGTAAGAAAATTTGGGTTTGACACACCCGCTACTAGAAGTTGTACCAGAAACAGCACTGAAACCAGCTACCTTCATCCGATGAAGAAAATATTTTATATGGTGTGTGAAAATTTAGACTCTAAAAGTTACGAACATTTCAAAAATCTCATTAAGGTAAATCCAAATGTTCCAGATCATACAATTTGTGAACTTTTCTTTTTGGAATTAATGTGTTGTGGCTATTTTTCGTCTGTAGAAAGGGGAAACCAAATTAGCATTAGTGACATCGAAAAGTTAATCAATGCTTTACAAAAAATTCCAGGTTGCAGGAAATCTCAAGAAATGCAGAGCGTTTTCGAAAAGCTTTATAAAATAAAAGATAGTATTCAGAGTCCTTTAAAAATATCCAATGAGAAACAAAACCGAGACCTTTTTGAAAAAAAATATGCCCATGATTTTAATGATACATTTGAACTTTTTAATCAGTTAAGTTTAGATGAACTGAAAAATGATATTGACTGAAACCTACCGTTCAACTACCCTACACATTATCCTCCACTACAATAAATAGTTCTTACTCTATCTATCTGATAGAGTAAGAACTAGTTAAGGTCTAAATCTACAATGAACTGGTTCACAAGGCATATTATGCGAAAACGGGGAAGGCCACCAAGAAAATGGGTAGATGAAATAAAGGCCACAGCTGGAGGTGGATGGGCAACAGTTGCAGGAGATAGAGGAGAGTGGAAACAGTTGGAGGAGGCCTTTGCCAAAAAAGGCACACAGACAAGTGTCAATTAATTTTAAACTCAATCAATCAAACTCAATCAATTTTAAACTCTGTATGTCTGAATAAAGGCTTATATTATTATTATTATTACAATAAATAGACTGGTAAATAAACAGGCGAAAGAATGAAGCCACGATCGAACGGTGAAAGCTGTGGGTGAAAGGGTAGGCTATTTGTGGTGAGCCCACTCGTAACAACACAAGCTTATTTAGCTTACCACGAGGCGAGGGGCTAAAGGACTATTGGGCTAAAAAATATAGCTGCATGCTTCCTGGTGTTTAAAAGTGTTTCTTATATATCCATAAAAGTAAACACATAGATCTATAACTAATGTTAGTAGGTAAGTAGGAGGAACCATTTTCTCGAATTGGTCTCGAAACAGTACCTGTTTATAATTTTTTCATCGTGAAATGCTTTGCGCATAGGTACGTGGCCGATGGGGACAACCAGGTGGGCTATGTGGGGTGGGACTTTCCCCGCCCCAGGGCCTATACCCACTAACACGCGGTGTCCATGAAACGGTGTAGCCAGCACGAAAAACTCTCGTCTTCGAATCGTTTGCGTATTCGAAAAAGTGCCAAAAAACCTTTGAATTCAACGATAATGTCACGATCTCGATTGTTAAAATTAGTTTCGTTCATACTGAGTTAACTTTAGGTCACGTTCACAGGGGCGCTGTTTAAGTTTTCATACTTAATCTTTTGATGGCAATTCGAATACGCAAACGATATTCGAAGTCGAATGTTTTTCGTGCTAGAGATACGGAGCCGCGGAGTTATTGTCGTCCTCTATTTTGTACATTCATCCGCAGTTCCGTCTCAACTATATTCTCTCATTACTTTTCTCTATGATTCTCTCGAACGGAGCCACTTCGGTTTCAGGGGACGCGCAATCCCTTTCTCCAGTTGTTGCCAAAATATCACGGGCCCCCGCCCTAGATACCCAATGCACAGAATTTGCCACGAGTCGAGTCACGGAAAAGCATAATAATTTATGTTTTATTTATCTTACGATTTATTGGTGGATTTTATCAAGTTGTGAGTAGGTATGTAGGTACTTACTACAATTTTATTCTGTTATCTTTTATGCTATTTTTATTACCTACTCACAGCATAAAAAATACGTCAAATAAGTATGTGGTTGATGGCTAAATATTGTTTTTATAAAAAATGAAGTTATTTTTAGTTACTTAGCACATTTTTGTTGCAAAATAGCATCTATTACAATAGTTTAAGATGCCACCTTTACCGCCGTGTTGTCTTAATGGTACTGTGCATTTTTTTATTAATAAAATAATATGCTATACTTAATTATGCGATTTGATTTGAACTACCCTATTTGCAATTTTGGTAGCTAATGAAATAACAAAATCACAATAATATTTTTTTGAGTCTTGAATGTATTTCAAATCCTCATCATCAAGATAATAATACATATAATGCTGATGATACACCCAAATATGGCTTATTCCACTATTCCCCGTTATATTAGGATTTTATTTTTGTTCACTATTCCCCGTTAACACCAATTGGAACTTATTATTATTCTGTGCTTATAGTCAATGGGGAATAGTGGAATAAGCCCCAAATATGTAGGTACTGGTATTTGGATGGAAATAAAAGACAAATTTTATTTAAGCTATATTTTCAAGATTTATTGCAACATCTGTGTTATTAAAATCCATTACAGCTTTTTCCAAGCGCTTCCTCTCTTCATCCGTTTTTAGTTTCGACCACATGGAGTCTAAATATGCCCTTTGATGTCTTTGTATAAATTTAAAACTATGTTTCAATGTTGCACCCACATGTAATGTTCTTAATCTAACATCTAGTTTTTCAATTTTAGTTACAAAAGGCAGACTGCTAGTAACAAAGCGGTGAGGCCCATGTCTGGCCCTGATTAATGCTATTCGAGTGTTTTCATTGCAATATTTGGTTAGGAATCCATTTCTAATAGAAGCAACTCCAAAATCTCCGTGTAGTTGTTGTATTTTGTCGAGCACAGAGTCGTGGAATTTACTAGGCTTCAGGCTAAGAGGCTTACTATCAGGAACTGCTGGAGATTCAATCTCAATGGTGATATACCTGTAAAAGTATGTAAATATATGATGGTATTTAATACTAGCCTACTTAATACATAATATTTACCATTGATTAATTCATCACCTATGTTTAAAGCGCACCATAATCGTATTAGATAATAATGTATTTAATGAATAATATCCTTTATTTAATTATTAAAAAGATTCAGAACAAATAATACATATAAATTCCTAAAAATTTATATTCCAACAAAACAACAAACCACTTTGCAACATCAATCTGTCAGTTTTTGACAGTCAATTTTTTATTAAATAATTCAGGTCAGTCATGAAGCTAAAGATAAAATGGAGGCCACACTTGGAATCCCTACTTGAAGCACAACCTATATATCACTATCTCGCTCTTTGTGGGCAGACTCTCTTTCTAAATAAACAAAAAATATAAATCAGCTCAAAGTCAATGAAACTCAATGTAAAATCTTTATCATCTTGACATAGGTATCATTAAATAATAAGTGTAAATACTGATAAAACGTTTTAGGAAGAAAGAAGAACGGTCATCTGTGACCCAGGCCTGACAGAAACGAGACATACCTCAGTTTTTTTGTCATGTCTTAATTAGTTAAATTATATATTTTTTATATTTGAAATCTATGTATAACACCAAAATATTACCCTTTGTTTTTGTTCAGGCGTTATACAAAAACTAATACAAAATGCCTATTTATCACCAAAATTGGTAAATGTATGTACCTAAATGTCTATTACAGCTGCTATGGAATGTATCTAGGTGACCTGGAGATACAGCCGGATTATACAGGGTGGAAACGAGAAGTTACAAAATCCAAAAATTCAATGTAACCAGCTTCCATAATCTGTAACCTATTATTGGTACCATTTGAAAGAGCTCGTGAAGCACTTTCAGAATCAGTAACTAGTTTTTCGATATCTTGTATAGTTTAGAAATAATCGAGTGAGATCACTTATCGTTCCATATGTATAACCACCCTATAATCCGGCTGTATCTCCAGGTCACCTAGNAAGGTAATACGATAGAGAATAATACAAAGTAATAAAAACCACCGGTTATAGGGGCATTTTTTTGAGAAATTTAACAAATAACCAAAAAAACACGAATTTAAAAGCAATTTTTTTTCAAAAAGTATATTTTTTTATTATTTTTTGGCCTTTTTTGTGTATTTTATGTATTTTTTTAGTATTGCCTGTTAGCCGATTGAGCTGATTTTGGTTTTAAAATCTTTGTCGTAGTCCAGGTCTAAACGATGAGTAAATACGGGCGCGATATTGTTTTTCTGTGACAGACAAAATTCCACGCGGGCGAAGCCGCGGGCGGAAAGCTAGTATAGTATATAGTTTATGTCATGCAAAGGTGGACCCCTTTACAGCAATATTATCAGAGCTAGACCATATTAAATCCAATAAAAATCTTAAAATAGCTCTCCTGTAAAATTGCAAAAAGTGCAATCGTGCCCTTGTTCTACCGAAGGTGCGATGTAATGTGTGACGTTCGGGAGACACAATAAAACAGTTAGATGTGCGCACTGTAGGTTTATTCGTAAGAATGAAGATTATCCTAAGCTTATATACTAGTGGTTTATGCCTAATATGGGGAAAGGATGCGTACACACTACAGGGGGAAGGAGGGGGAGAGGCCGCGGATTTGCGGGTCCTCTTTGAACGACTGACAGTGGTGAAGCCACTGTCATCGGCGTCTGAGACATAGTCACATTCCATGTCCCTATTGGGAGCATGGGATTGGTGCTCTATGGTAAGAGAGTGCTCGTTAGTGAGCGGAATTGGTAGCGGGGCCGAGTTAGGATCGCACATGGCGTCCTCGGGACATGATGGGGAAGCAGGCTCCTCATGGATGGAGCTTGCGAGGGACTTTGCCCGTATGTGGGCTTTAAACCCGGAGAGGACCTCCGGGTGAGTGGCCCGGAGGAACTTTAAGAGTTCCTCCGTGTCCATGGCATGGAGTTGAGTTCCGCGACGCGTGAATCTACGCCGGTTCGCAAGTCGCAACCACCGAGAAGAGCCGGCAAGAAACTCGGTGGTTATAGCGGTGTGTAAGTCCCGCACAGTCGGTGTAAACCGTGCGGGGTGAGTGGGAAAAGTGTGCCCTAACCAATGTAACTACGCCGCAACGTAGCAACGCCGCGACGTAGGGTGAGTACCTACTCCTAGCAGTCCTTCAGGAGGGCCCCGGTCGCAAAAACAACCAGGGATACGCTCCTTCAGGGATGGAAAGTAGGGAGGGGTAGGGGGGNGAGATACAGCCGGATTATACAGGGCGGAAACGAGAAGTTACAAAATCCAAAAATTCAATGTAACCAGCTTCCATAATCTGTAACCTATTATTGGTACCATTTGAAAGAGCTCGTGAAGCACTTTCAGAATCAGTAACTAGTTTTTCGATATCTTGTATAGTTTAGAAATAATCGAGTGAGATCACTTATCGTTCCATATGTATGACCACCCTATAATCCGGCTGTATCTCCAGGTCACCTAGATACATTCCATAGCAGCTGTAATAGACATTTAGGTACATACATTTACCAATTTTGGTGATAAATTGGCATTTTTTATTAGTTTTTGTATAACGCCTGAACAAAAACAAAGGGTAATATTTAGGTGTTATACATAGATTTCGAATATAAAAAATATATAATTTAACTAATTAAGACATGACAAAAAAACTGAGATATGTCTCGTTTCTGTCGGGTCTGGGTTTTTTTTGTATGGGGCGTGACCGTTCTTCTTACCGTGAAAAATGTTTAGAATGATCCAATGTCGGAAATCACGAAATAAACACTTACGCGTGGAATCTTAAGTCACTTGCACCACGTACTACCGCAACCACGCACTACAAAATTATGCACCATTTCTTGTGATAAAACAATGATTAGGTCCTGTAAAAAATCTCAAACGAAATTAACTGCATAGTAAACAACCGCCATGATGGGCCAGATTGGTCCGATGTTGCCACATGGTACCGATTCCAATTATTTATTTGTTTCTGATTTGGTTAGTGAATTGGCTATTTCGAAGAATTTACTAGGAGATTTAAATAAGGAGATAGCAATACTATAGTCCACACTAAAAAGAGAGGTCGGCCCACAGAGAGCGAGATAGAGATAAGTAGGTATTTGACTCAAGTTGTTGTTCCAAGTGTGGCCTTCATTTTTTCTTTAGCTGCATGAGGTCATTGGAATTGCTCTAGGGCCAATGAGGAAGTTGGAGACATTCTCATCCAAAATATAGATGACCCACGCTGAACTGTCCCGCCAAACTCAATGACAGGGGGGCGCTACAATCGTTCAACTATATGGTTTCCAACATGGCAAAAATCTGAACCAGCGATCCGGTATTGACGGTGGCGCCCCACTGTCAATGTCATCGACAGGACAGTCCAGTATTTTGGAACTATACTGAACTGTCCTGTGCAGGACATTGACAGTGGGGCGCCACCGTCAATACCGGATCGCATCCTATCAGTCGCTCCCTACGAAATCGCCTGTTGCGATTTTGGCCATGTTGGAAACCATATAGTTGAACGATGGTAGCGCCCCCCTGTCATTGAGTTTGGTGGGACAGTTCAGCGTGGGTCATCTATATTAGTGATGTGACAGACATTGCAGTACACTGCAACCACAATCGTTCTAGTGATCCATCCACAGATATGGATAGATGCAGCATGTGTCAAAAATTGTATGAAGCTGAGCGTGCCACTTTTTAAACGTCATTAGTGTCATTTTAGCGAATTTTAGTGATTGCCGCAACGTAAAAGTAATCGTATCATCGTACTGCATTCGCAAAGTCATCGAATGATATCGTGTGACTCAATTCAAAAATTAATTAATTCCGATAAAACTGATATTTTGTTAAATTTATAGCTAGTCTGACTGTGGATTAAAATAATTTTGTAGCGGTAGACGTTATTCTACAATTCTACATTATTAATTTGCAAATAATATTTTTGTTGTGCCTAATGTTTATGAAAGTAATGATCGTTATTCCATTATGTTAAATAGTACTACTAGTAATTTTATTCATACTTAATTCCATACTTTTAAATATCCTAGTAAGTAAATGACCTAGTTTCTCAAAATAAAAAGACTATTTTACTCAAGCTTTTTATTTTTAATAAATGTAAAAATGCGTAGTTTTGCCAATACGTTTTCTTTCATAAAGCTAAGTCAGGTACCTAGTTTTGAAGATATTTCTAAACGACAAAATCTCGGGCGCCGTATACATAGACTAGTAATAGTGTATACTGCGATCACTGACCTAACTTCTTGATTTGTATATTTCGACGTTATACAGTGCACTCTGTCTTCCGCGATCACTGATCTAACTTGTTTTATAATTCGTCTACTGCTACTTTATTCTAATTAATTACATATTTGTTACTCGTTGCTGTTAATTGCAATTCTCAATCCGTAAATAATTTCTTCTCTCTACCGTGTTCGTACTACTGTCCTCGTAAAATCATCGTATCCGATTGTTGTAATCGGATCACATGAACATCACTCGACCATGTATGTCCATTTGGACATATCGGAATGGCACGCTTTGACTAGCAACTTGCTGTATCTACTCTAATCCATATAGTTCCAAAATACTGCCCCCCTAGACAAAACGCACTTTTTGATCGAATCGAAATTCGAATCCGTCAAAACTCCATACAAAAAAGGGGCTTTTCGACCACTTTTCGACTGGTTTGCGATTATAATTTGCACTTTGTCTAGACCCACTGGACTGTCCTGTCGATGACATTGACAGTGGGGCGCCACCGTCAATACCGGATCGCTGGTTCAGATTTTTGCCATGTTGGAAACCATATAGTTGAACGATGGTAGCGCCGCCCTGTCATTGAGTTTGGTGGGACAGTTCAGCGTGGGTCATCTATATCTGTGGATCCATCCATATCTGTGAGTGAGTGATCCGGTATAGTTCCAAAATACTGGACTGTCCTGTCGATGACATTGACAGTGGGGCGCCACCGTCAATACCGGATCGCTGGTTCAGATTTTTGCCATGTTGGAAACCATATAGTTGAACGATGGTAGCGCCCCCCTGTCATTGAGTTTGGTGGGACAGTTCAGCGTGGGTCATCATATTGATGGTGGCGTCCCCCTGTCAATGTCACGGGTTACAGTTCGTGTTGTAGTTGTTATTCTATACAGGTTAATTTGGTTTCCGTCTCGNCTACGCCGCAACGTAGCAACGCCGCGACGTAGGGTGAGTACCTACTCCTAGCAGTCCTTCAGAAGGGCCCCGGTCGCAAAAACAACCAGGGATACGCTCCTTCAGGGATGGAAAATAGGGAGGGGTAGAGAGGCGTTTAACTACGCTTGTTCGTTAACACCGTTAGGTATCCCAAGCGCAGCCGCGGGCAAGCCACGTAATTGTGACAAAACACCACAGAAATAAGACTCGCAGAGCGAAGGCGATAAGCTCGAGGAACTCGGAGCGCAGCGCATGCGAGCGGGCGGGCGAGGCGGAGCGCACGTCCGTACCGTGCGAGCGATGCGAAGCGAATCTGTGACTGACTGCTAGTTTTTTTTTTTTTTTTTTTTTTTTTCGCGTGGATCTCGCTGTGACGTGCTGTGACGTAGTGGCAGGCTCGGCGCTGGTCGCTCGAAGTAAATAAAAGGGCGCGCCGTGTTACAAAGTTTAGTTTTTAAGTAATTATAAGTTTTTACGTTTCTTGTACTATTTAGTATAGTTTATCCTTTAATATCTAAGATTGTTTTATTTTTTTTTAATAAAAACCAACATACATTTCAATCAGCCCCTTTAACATAAAATTGAGCAATTGCCCCAAGCGACGGTTTCAATTTTGTTTTTTGATATAAATCGCTTGTCATCATTTGAAGACAGTACAATTTTGTTGACGCTGCGTGTAAATAACTCATGATTTAATGACTTAAATAAGAGATTCTGTTTACGCACTAAGTTACCTCTAATCAAAGTGTTTTCATAGTCAGATTTATGCATTTCTCGGACAATACACTTTTTCACGCCTTTGGCTTTTTTTAACGTACCGTTTTCAGACTGGATACAGTATAACTTCGGGCGTAACCCTACAACTTTGGGCGAGCGAAAGGGTGTGTTACTTATATGCGTTTAACGCTGTAACGCTGCCAATTCGCTCATTGCACGGTCTGTCCCGGCCGCTTGCTTTGGTGTTGGCCTTGAGGGAGAGCGCTGGTTGTGTAGATCCTCAAGGCAAGCCTGACTGTTATCCTTCTCGTGGTTGCCGCCTGTTTTTGGTCTGGTTGCCTATGAAACAGACGTAACGGAAATGGTCAGACGCATCCCATGCTCCTTAACACCCTTTTCCTACCCCAATCTCTAATCTCATTCATCTCAATCATCGTTTCAAAATTCTCATCTCGAACACTATAACCGCACATGTACCGAGTAGTAAGCGCATTATCAAGCCCTGGATAACACCTGGTTTGCTTCGTTGTATACGGCATAGAGACAAACTATACCGCAGGGCAAAAAGGCAGCCGGATAATGATGTCGTGAAAGTCTCATATAAACGTTACAAAACTTTTTGTAACAAATTACTGAAAAAAGTTAAGACTGACTATGAGCGTTCGGAATTTCAAAAACACAAAAATAAGCCTAAAGAAGTATGGAATCTTATTAAGAACCTTTCTAACTTAAAAAAGAGGACTCCTTCGTCAGAAATGAGCTTCTTTCTACATGTAATGATCCACAAGCATCAGTTAATTACATTAATAAATTCTTTGCTAGCGTAGGGTGAAAATTAGTAGCCGAACTTATTGTGAGTTCTCCAAATACATCTATTGTTTATTCCCCCAAGGAACCAGATGTTTTGTTGAAGGACTCCATGGCACTTCTTCTTCAGTCTGAAGCGGGATTGTGCTACGGGCTGGGATTCCATTCCTACTTCTTTTATCATTGATGCAAGACACGTCCTAATTCCAGTCTTGAAAAAAGTTTTTAACCTTTGTCTCTCATCTGGCATTTTCCCATCCGCCTTTAAGAGGGCATTAGTTCACCCAATTTATAAGAGTGGGGACAGATGCAGTGCCACTAATTACCGTCCTATTTCTGTATTGTCTATATTCTCCAAAATTTTAGAAAAAATCTTAAACAGAAGACTTATTGATTACTTAGATTCTAAAAGTTTACTTGCTCCAAATCAATTCGGGTTCAGAAATGGTAAGTCAACTGAGGACGCTGTTCTAGAAGTAATAGATACTGTTGTTAGCAATATTAACCATAAACAAACATCACTATGAGTAGTAAATAAATTGGGAAGGCTAGCTCACGACGCCTTTAAAAACGGCGTCGCGATTTAGCCTCCCCAATTTAAATTATTGACATGAAAACATACCTGTTCTTTCAACGACCGATGATAAAACGGTGCACAATTGAAGTATATCACACACGCACACACATACACTTACTATTTCAAAAACTAATGCTTTTATTGTTCGATCACTAATTGTGAGACATTAATAACGTCTTATAACAAAAAGGCGCTCTTTCCGTCTCGCGAGTGTCAGTGGCTACACGTGTGTCAGGAAAAAAATCGTTTATTTTGAAAATCTATTGCTCTTTTTCACTAGAAACCAACTCTAAGCTCATTTATTAATCTAACTAAGGTGGTGGTAAACACATTTTGTTGTATTTTTGGTAAGTAAAACAGCATGGAGGTTATTCCTCCCGACCCGCCTGATCCTCCAGACCAGGCCGCCCCGATGGAGTTATCACAACCTCTTTTTTCACAAGCGCCAACCAAACGTCGTCTAGATACGGCGGTTGACTCCGAGCCGGCCAAAAGAACCATCACGGATGGTTCGATAACCCAACCAAATCAACAGGTTTACACTCATCCCTCGATTGTCATTGCACCCAAGACGTACAGTGACCTAGACAAAGGCCCATTTTTAGTACATGTTTCCCACGTGGAATCGGAGCCTTCTTCTCCAGCGTTTATTCAACCCATGCGATTCGGAAAGTTCTTGGTGACGAACAGAATTCAGGGCATTATTTTGGATGGGGTTAAAAAAATAGGCAGGAATAGAATCTCAGTAGAGTTCATTTCCCCCAACGCGGCAAATAACTTCTTAAATAACGACATTCTTTCCCTATACAAATACGTAGCCTCCATTCCGACCTACAATGTGACCCGCATGGGTCTCATCAGGAATATCCCCACAGACTGGACCATGGAGGAGCTCGCGGAATCCTTGACAGTTCCAGACGGTTGCGGCATTCTCTTGAAGGCCCGCCGGCTGAACAGGAAACTAGTAAGAGACGGCCAATCATCCTGGGTCCCCACACAATCTGTCGTGGTGACTTTCAAGGGCCAAGTCCTTCCTCAGAGAGTTTTTAGCTGTCACAACTCGATACCGGTGGAGACGTACCAGCTTCCAACAATACAATGCCTTAACTGTTGCCGTTTTGGCCACGTTAAGGTACAATGCAGGTCGAAACCCAGATGTTTCAAATGTACCCAACCCCACTCGGCAGATGAATGTGAAGTTGTGGAAAGTAAAGCTTCTTGTGTCAATTGCTTAGGCCCACATTTTGCGGTTAACAAGTCCTGTCCAGAACATTCCCGCCAAAAAGCAATTAAAATATCCATGTCTCAGGACAATATTTCATACTCCGAGGCCTCCTCCCAATTTCCGCCAGCCCGCAAGTCTTACGCAGATGCCACAAAATCTCCATCCTCACAAACCATCAGCTCCACTTTCCAATCCTCCCAACCCAACTCTTCTCCCTCAACCCAAACCACTTCCTACAGAAAGTCCATCCCTCGTACTCCCCGCACACACGCTCCGTTAGATAAGGGTTACGACAAGCAGGCACACCAAGCCATAATTGGCAATTGTGCCTCTTCCCTTCCTAATGGTTGCGCTTTGAATAATGACTCCTCCTCTTCCTATCCCCCTGGTGATGAGGGCCTCCTGGAGATGGTCCTCTCCCTCATCATCGGTATTATTTCCAGTCGCAGAATTGCCCTACCGTCCAACGTTGCACAAATGCTTTCCCAAATCTCGCAATTAACTGATATTAATAATGGACAAAAAGGTAGTTCAGTGGAACTGCCAAAGCATTAGACGTAAAAAGCACGAATTAATCTTTTTATTAAATAAATTCTCTCCATCGGTTCTAGCCGTCTCGGAGACATGGTTGGTGCCTGGTTCACACTTCCGTGTATCAGGCTATTCATGCCTCCGTGATGATAGAAGTGATGGTTACGCGGGAAGTGCCTTACTTGTAAGGCGCTTTCTCCGCTATAGTCAACTTCCCCTCCCCTCGCATAGCCAAGATATTAATGTCGTGGCCGTGCGAGTATTTGACATATCCTTCCTATCCGTTTATATTCCCCGTCCTAACTCTTCCTCCATTAATGAATTGCGCTCTGCCATTTTATCCCTTCCTCCTCCTGTCCTGATTATGGGCGACCTTAATGCTCACCACGTCTCGTGGGGCTCGTATCACTCCGACTCTTCTGGATCATTACTATTGGACCTTTTGGATGATTTAGATCTTTGTATTTTGAACAATGGCTGTCCAACCAGAAGGTGTGCTCCTACTCAAAATCCAGCTTCTGCCGTGGATGTTTCTTTTTGTTCTCCAAATTTATCTTCGCTCCTTTCGTGGAGCGTCCTTAATAGCACGTTCGGTAGCGATCATTTCCCTATTTTAATTTCGCTTCCCGATAATAATACTCCAATTAGCCGACTCCCACCTCTTCTAAAATACAAAATAAATAACGCTGACTGGCCAGGTTTTTATAGGTCAGTCAACGAAAAACTTATAGACCTTCCCAACATCTCTAATGAAAATGCCCTTTCTGTCTATCCTGATTTCGTAAACATCTTAGAATCATCTGCGAACGAGCACATCCCTTTGAAAAACCCGTCTCATAAGATTTCTCCCCCTTGGTGGGACGCTGAGTGTACTGCCAGTGTCAAAAAACGAAAAGAAGCTGAAAAAAGGTACAATCGTTCAATGACTATGGAGAATTACATTGGATACCAAAAAACGGCTGCCCAAACTAGGAAATTCCTGGCTAAAAAGAAGAAAAAAGGATGGATTGGGTTCTGTGAGGGCATGTCCCCAAGGACCCCTTCCTCTATAGTGTGGAAACAGATAAAACGTTACCGTGTGTCTTTAACCCCATTAAATTCTCCGTCAAACGACCCCTCTACTTGGCTTAATGATTTCGCTGATAAATTGGCTCCTCCGTTTGTTCCCTTTATAGATAGTTTTCCGTCTCCCAGTAGCTTCCTTCCTCATGTAAATTATTTAGATAGGCCCTTTTCTTTTGAAGAACTTATGTTAGCCTTAGATGGTTTAAAGGATTCATCCCCTGGGATAGATGGTATCCCCTACTCTTTTATAATTAAATCCCCAGAAAGAGCTAAGTCATACTTCCTTGAAATTGTTAACTCGTTCCTGGATCAAGGTTCTCTTCCGGAAGCTTGGAAGCAACAGATTGTCATTCCAATACCCAAACCAGGAAAAGATCCTTCAGATCCCAACTCTTACCGCCCTATAGCTCTTTCTTCCGTTCTCCTGAAAATATTAGAACACATGATAAGAAACCGTCTGGAGTGGCATTTGGAATCCAACAAAATCCTTCCTTTATCCCAATTTGGTTTCCGCAAAGGTTTAAGCACTCTAGATAGTTTGAGTATCTTAACAACAGATATCCGAGTAGCCTTTAAAAATAAAGAATATCTTGTTGGGGTTTTTTTAGACATTGCCTCTGCGTACGACAATGTTTTGCTCCCATTGCTCAGGCAAAAATTGCTTCATCTGAGTATCCCGGAGAAACTGGTACGTCTCATCTGTAACTCATTGATGTCTAGGTCAATTGCAGTGAGATGTCAAGATTCTATTGTCCCTCGTTTAGTTTGGAAAGGTCTCCCGCAAGGTTCAGTGCTTAGCCCTCTGCTCTACAGCCTATATACGTATGACCTAAACAGGACAGTAGACTCTTTCTGCAACATCCTACAGTACGCGGACGACATTGCCTTGTATTACTCCTCTAACTCTATTCGCGAAGCAAGCTCTCGTTTAAATACAGCTTTAGAGTACCTCAATAATTGGATGATAGAACATGGGCTATCAATATCTACTCAAAAATGTAGTTGCGTCACTTTTACACGAAAACGTTCTATTCCAGATTTAGACATATCACTAAACGGTAACAGAATCCCATGTGATAACAAAGTTAAGTTTTTAGGCCTAATTCTAGACACCCGACTGACAGGCATCCCGCATTTTAATTATATTCTCGGAAAGGCTGAAAAAGGGTTAAATATTCTCCGAGCCCTCTCAGGTACCTGGTGGGGCGCTCATCCATACTCCCAAAAACTTCTATATAATGCCATTGTTCGTAGCCATTTTGATTACGCTTCATTCCTATTAGACCCATGTAACAAAGCCATACTTGAGAAACTCAACAAAACTCAGTCTAAATGCCTTCGTATAATATTGGGAGCCATGAAATCCTCGCCTATCAATGCTCTGCAAGTCGAGTGCGTGGAGCCTCCCCTTTATTTGCGAAGACAGTACCTTAGCGACAGATTTTATATAAAAGTTTCTCAAAACTCCTCTCATCCTTTAAATGAAAAATTAGTCCTCCTTTCCTCACTGAGTAGCTCTGATCCCTCTCGAAATTTGCCATGCATTCTGTTAAGTCACCAAAAATTTACCTGTCTGCCTACTCCGATTGAAAAAATTCCACTAAATCCCCTTTTCACTAACAGCTTTGAATCCCTTCTTTATCAACCCCCAATTATTTTAAACTTTGGCATAAATAAGGACTCGTGTTCAGCAGGTCAAGAATTTATTAATATTGTCTCCGAGCACTGGCAAGGCTGGCTTAAGATATTTACTGACGCCTCCAAGCTGGACGAAGGTGGCTGCACTGGCGCAGCTGTCTGGATACCTGCGTACAAAATAGCATTAAGTTTTAAATGTCCCCCAGTAACTTCA